TCCAGTTGACTGAAAATTGAGACATGGGCTGAGTTCATTTCCAGATCTGAAGGGCGTTAAGGGTCGTAGTATCAGGGGTTGTACCAGTCAGATTCAAACATTTTTAAAGATGACTTTTTTATTTCATAAAATTGAAAACTGCAAAATCAAATGAAGTGTGATTTCCTTCTAGAAACAATTTAATGTCTTTAGAGACATACAAATTATGAATTGGGCCAGTTCAATTTATAGTGATTGTTTTATTTTTTTTCCACTGAAAAACAGTACTTTAGTACGTTTGAGTTTTACACTTTATGATGCATATAAAATGTGCCCCCAAATGTACACACAATGTCAAACATACATAAAGAAATTAGAAAGCAAAGGGTTATTAGTAAAAAAGCTTCATATCAATCAGAAAATGGGGGGGGGGGTCACTCCAAAAGGAAAACATATAAGATACGATAAGCAATCTATAAATATATAAGTACAATGCAATTAATTACTTTTTATGGCTCTTCTTCCCATAGTCTTTGTAACTACTACCAAACAATTCTTTTTTTGATGGTGAGAAGGTGAGAGAAGATGCTGATTATATGATTCCATTGTGAGTGGTCATTAACAGGGTTTATTCTTATCAACAGAGAAAAGATTGAAGTTGTCAAGGACTTCATTCTTTTTGGATCAACTATCAACACGCATGGAAGCAGCAGTCAAGAAATCAAACGAAATATTGCATTAGGAAAATCTGCTGCACAAGACCTTTTTAAAGTGTTGAAGAGCAAAGATGTCAGCTTGAGGATTAAGGTGCGCCTGACCCAAGCCATGGTATTTTCAATAACCTCATATGCATGCGAAAGCTGGACAGTGAATAAGGAAGACCGTAGAAGAATTGATGTTTTTGAGTTATGGTGTTGAAGGAGAATATTGAAAGTGCCATGGGCTGCCCATAGAACCAACAGATCTGTGTTGGAAGAAGTGCAGCCAGAGTACACCTTGGAGGTCAAGTTGGCCAAACTTTGTCTCTCATACTTTGGACATATTGTCAGGAGGGACCAGTTGCTGGAGAAGGATATTATGTTTGGTAAGGTGGAGGGCCAGAGAAAAAGAGGAAGACCCCTAACAAGATGGATTGGCCAAGTGGCAGTATCAATGGGCTGAAATGTGGCAACAATAATGAGGTTGGCCCAGGATCGGGCAGTGTTTCGTTCTGCTGTGCATAAGGTTGCTATGAGTCGACACCAACTCGATGGCACCTAACAACATTTGTGATTACAAAAACTTAGAACTCTTAACAAGTATAAAATGAGCCATTTCAGAAGCAGGAGAGGAGAATCTCGCTATCATCAATGAAAAAGAGCCAGGAGTAGAATGTATCCTTTGGACTTGCGGTCCCTGTGTATTGAATCTCCTTGACCCAGGGCCATAGAGGAGCTCCAGCAGCAGAACCAAGAGCCAGAGCATGACACAGAGCAGTGGACTACTTGGTACATGGAGTAAAAAAAGCTGAGTGTCTTTGGACAGGAGGCTTGTTGCAGAGGGATGCCTCCAAGTACTTAACTGGGAAGCTAGAGTTGAGTGCCTTCAAGTTGAGGCTTATAGCAGAGTGCAGTGTCTTTTAGGTGCTTATCAGCAGAGGTCAAGGCAAGGGGCTGGCTGCAAGAAAGTCCTGTCTGTGGGCATGGCTGAGGAGAGGCTGTCCTGACTAGTAGAACTGCGCCCTGAGCATTTCTGATTCTGAATTGTAACCTGTTAAATTCCCAAGTAAACCCCGTAATTGTTGAGTATTGTTTCTGAGTTCTGTGTGGTCACTGCTGTGAAGTAGAGAATGCTGTGAAGTAGAGAATGAGAATTGTGTCCGAATTGGTAAAGATGGCAGAAGGCTGGCAGCATATCTGACCTCAGCCTCACAGGAATTAGCCAAGGGTTGATGACAATGGTGATTCTTCTCCTCCCCTCTGGTGAAGCCAGAGGAGGCCAGATGCCACCACAATGTACTATCTACAAATAATATAGTTAACAAACATTAAAAATGACTACTTATTAGTAACCTGATTATAATACTGGCATTAATAGTGAGATTAATATATATTTTGCTTCTGAATCTTACAGAGAAATATCTGCAATAACTGATACAGGAGAAGAGGTAGTGAAGTAGATGCCGCTGGTTGAAAGTATCAAGTGTGCAACCTGTCTAGAAGGTGTTAAATGGTGTACACTTATTTAGAATTTCAACTAAGATATAATCCCAAACTTAAATACAAAAACTAACCTATGCGGATACTAGAAATCAAATTATTGTTTATAAGCTAAACAACAGGGGACTAAACAAACTACAGTGCATCCATATGGTGAACACTTAGACAGTTATTCAAAGTTACAGTGTAGGTCGCCATGAGTTAGAATCTACTTAACAACTTAACAGCAACTAACAACAACAGAAATATTAATGACATCAGAAAATGTTCACCTCTGTTTTGGGAGGGGGGGGAAGTAGGTTGCAACACTATATGCATAGCAGAATACCAATTTTGTTTTGCTTTGTTTTTCTTTTTTAAAATGTACTTTATTTCATGCTTTTCTGAATTTCCCAAGGTACATGTATTACTTTTATAAATCAAAATATAAAATTAATTTAATACATATCACAAAACTTAATCCATTATAAAACACACAATATTCCAATTAAATTTACACTTGCATATTTATGAGTAAAAATAATCTTGAGTTAAAGATGGGTTTCAGATGTATCTGCTTGACACAAAAAAAGTATTGAGAAAATTTTTTTTAGATCATTTCAAGAGACCACTTAAAGTTAATAGTGCACAGAATACAAATGACATGGTTTAGAAAAGCCAGCACAACATAGCTACTTAAACTCCTGGTGTGGCACTGTAGAATGAGCACTGGACTGCGAACCACAGGTTAGCAGTTCAATCCCACCAGCTGCTCCTGGAAAACACTAGGCAGGGTAGCTATGAGTCTGAACCGACTTGACAGCACTTAACAATGACAACAATATAGCTACTTAAGAAAACATATAAAAAATTATTCTAATCCATTAGTAGTTTTGTATCCCCTTTGCACCACCTCTAAGTAAAATTTATTTTCGATATTCAAAATTTATGATTTCCTAGAATTAAAGCATCAAAATGAACACCAAATAGTAAAAATTATAAAACTGCATATTATCATTTGTGCATGGGAAATAACCAAATGACAATCTTCTATTTACTAATGAGTAGCCCATTTATCCAAAGAAGATTGTATGCATTTGAATGCTATTTTTCAGAACATGGCATCCATTCACAGCACTCAAAACGAAAAGAAAGTTGGTATATTAAAGCTAGCTTCTCTGTCAATACAAGAAAACAGGTGAATCCATGTGTGCTAAATAAAAATACATGTAGGTTTGTAACTGAAACTTTGTTCACAAAATACGTGGTCTTCTACATTCTAAACCAAAAAAAATTAAAAATCAATTCAAATAATTCAGAATAAGTGCTTTATTGTTTTTTTCAATTCCCACAAAATGGAAACTTATCATTTACATTAGAAATAAACTTGCTATAACTCTTAAAAACACTTTATGAGCATAAAATAAATTTCAATGAAATAAAAAGGCAAAACTACTCTTTTTAAATGGAAGATAATCTGACTGTTTGTGACACACCCACTTGTAGAAGTACAAACAGCAGATGCATTCCACACAGCGCAAGAGTTCATTAATTTAGGACAACATTCTAACCAACCACAATCCAGTTTTCAATTACTTGTGCACATTTCTATCGAATCACAAAAGTAAACTTCTCCTGTGCAGAAAACTTCACTCCAACACAGTAACTACATAAATCATGAGGGCAGGGCAAAAAAAAATCAAAACCCAGCATTTAGAATGCAAATACTTCAAGGTAACTGCAATATTACTATATATTTTTACTTTTGTGAAAGAAGAAAAAAAACTTCCTTTAGACTATATGCTTAAAAGAAAAGTAAACTTATTTCATATTCTTTTTCTGAATTTAAAAATATATATACACGTCATCTTCCTTTACATATGATAAGTTCAAATATGAGTTGATAGTGGGTGATTTGGATTCTTCTAAGAAAGCTCTATAGAAGAGATAATGCAACGTACTAGATCTTCTTTAAGAAGGATGAGCTGAAATGTCAGACATTCCTTGGGCTGTTTTTTTGATATACTCAAGGAACACTGTTCTTATAAACAAGTTTTGAAAAAGAAATACTGAGATCAAAATACATTACTGGAGGATTTCTATAAAGGACCCCCCAAAACTATCCTTGTTTGCAAAAATCAGGGAAAACGTTTTTAGAATTTATATTGCTAGAAAAAAGGCTACCACTTATCTTCCTTTTTCTTTTTTCTGATTCTCACAATTAAGCATCAAATGATTTTCCCAAATAAATACTGATGTAAATGTTGATTTCAAGGGCAAACAACTTTCACAAGAGTCTATTTCTCAGGCATTTCACCATTTGTTGAAACTGAAGTAGCACTGTTCTGGTGTAAATTGTCAATGGACTCCTGTGAAGTATTTCTTCTGCGAGAGTTTATTGGGATCTGAAGCTGACTGGCAGGTGTAGGCTTAGCAGCATTTGGCGGCTTTGTGGAGGAATTAGATGGAGGTCTATGACGACTACTCTCCTCACCAGAAGTAGATGAATGTCTTTTTCTTCCAAATTCTTCATTAATAGGGGGCTGCAAATCATGAAACACAACACAATTGTCATTTTACTTTTTTTCCTCCCTCCATAAGCTAAAGGCCAGGCTTTCCCAACGAAGAGGGAAACCACGCTGATGCTTCAGTAGATTTTTTATTAGTATAATACAAATTTAAGAGCAATTTAAGATATTTGGGCATAACTTTCCTACCCAACTAAATCTGCCCATGCCCACTAGTACTTGTGCATTCTATTTCACTTGCTACATTTTAAAGCTTCTTTATGTATGGGGGGCTTGACTACATAGTAGAGTATAACAATGGAAGGTGTGTTTCTTGCTTCCAAAAAAAATGTTTCAGAAAGACTCTTTTCCCTCTTACTAAACCTCTGTTAATGCAAAATACTTAGAACTACAGTTCTGTCCTTGATGCTAAACTCCTATCCTAAGCTTGCTTCAATGTAGGAATGTTTAAATAACACGTAAGTGAAAACAATAGGGGTGGTGGTGCTGGAAAACATACCAAGTCAAATAACCTTCATCAAGTTTGAAGGTTTACTTAGGATTCCTAGTACAAGGACAATATCATTGATAGTACTAAATTTAAACATCTCTCAAACAAATCTCCATAAAGCTCACATGTTCCCTCAATCTTACAAGGTGGAATGTAGGCAGTGGAAAATTACCCTAAATTTAAAACAAAAAACTCCAGTTCCAGAGATTTAAGAACCCTTTTTTTTTTTTTTTTTTTTACAGCTTTTTTTGTGAATTGAGTGATAGTTTACACAAGAGAACATCTGTTTTGCACTCAACAAATCCTATTTTGTTTCATTTAAATGATTACAATCCCCTTCATGGGACCCTGATTAACAAACAGTATTTGCCTCTATTCACTCTTTTTTAAAAATGTACACAAAAACATGCAGGAATGTATAATCATTTAAATAACCAAAGGGCACATTTTGTAAGCCAGCCTCCTGCTGGCCAACACAAAGCCTTTCTCTTTCCATGAGTCTAGAGTTCTCAGCTCTGCATTTCCTCTGCACAGGCCACTGTATTGATTGGACCTTTCTTTTGAGACTCAGACAAGTGTATTATGATCTGAACTTGTCTGCAGCCTTCCACTGATAGCAGAGACATGTTTTAACAGGTTTTTTTTAGGACACACCTGTGTATGTGTGAACTAGAACAACCATAGCAATATTTTTTTACTTACCCTTGTATATAAGATGTTAATATCTGGGGAGTCTAGGTAACAAATTATGCTACTTTTTACGTATTTTGTTTTTTGTTGTTGTTGTTTTTCAGCACCTGCTTTTAAGTTTGATATTATTTCTCAACAAAAAGTTAAAAAATATAATTAAGTCATTGATAGAAGAACAAACATAAGGATGGTAAAAAAAATTGCAGAAGAAAGGACTTAAACTTACATCAACGCGGAAGTCTTCTAACCTCTTAAAACTATAGAGGTATTCCTGAAGTTTTGGGTCAATAGACTGCGTGTTAGATTGAGAATATTTCAGATAAGCCCAAAACTTTTCTAGTCCATACAGCTGACCTAATAACAAAGGAAAATATATAACATAAGTTATACAGAAAAATTTTTAAGTGATTCCCATTGAATATGCTCCTACTAGCCATTTGGATAAACCATTTCCAGTTTACATTTTATCTACATCTTGTGAATATGATGTCATGAATTACTAATAATGGCAACTAACATTGTAAAAAAATTAACAAATTGAATAATATACATCTCTAATCAGATAGGTGTTCTTGTGCATATTTTACAGAAGACAAAATTGAATTTACCAATGTGAAACTTATGCAAGATCACACAATTCCTAAGTAAAGTGAAACCTGTGAGAACTAGAACTACATGGGGCTGCCTTGTTTTTCTGGGTCTTGTCAGTTTTCCACCTTTGACATGGTGCAATCTTTCCTCTTTCTATTGCTCTCTATTCACGGAAAACTTTTTCCTGTTCTGGCAGGTTTCTACCTTAGGAACAGCTCCAGGTTTCATGGGTTTTACTGTAGCAGAAATGGGATGCAGATCTAGGATCTGGCTCAGTTTAGCCTATAGTTTTAATCCCTGGGTTATGCCACCTTTCCAAGCATACCTGCAGACACTACATAGCATTTTAATGTACTATAACACCAGTGAGCAGCCATGTTTCTCATGGAAACCATGACAAAATACACTTCCATAAAGGACACTCTTCAAATTTCAAAGCACCTCACAGAAAGAGCACTTTTACTATATAGTATTACTATCCTTTATCAAAAGGTGCTCTGGTAACATAATGGTTAGGAATTGGGCTGCTAATCTCAAGGTCAGCAGTTCGAAACTACCAGCAGTTCTGCAGGAGAAAGATGAGGCTTTCTGCTCCTGAAAGGATTTACAGACTCAGAAACCTTATGTAGGGTCGCTATGGGTTGGAAATCAACTCGACAGCACTTAACAACAACAACAACAACAATCCTTTATCAATAACTGTTAATAGTGGTGTGAAGGTCTTAAATGGTTTGCCCTGAAGAGAAAAGTTATGAATTCCCTCCCTATTTATTGATAGACTTAGGTTTATAATTCCTAAAGAGCGTAGTTTTGTTTTTGTTTTTACCAGATTCATAATCTTTTTTGGTTTCTTCTTGAAAATCCTTAAAAATTTCTTGTCTGAATTTTTTTTCCAGTCCATAGCTATAAAACCTGAACAGACATTCTAACCCATACCTGTGGAAAATAAAGAAAAGATTTATAATCAAAGTTTTACTGTGATAATGTAACATCTCGTTATTAGCAACACAGTACAAATAATCCCGAATAAAAGCTAAGTTTTTGAAATGTATGTAATTTTTAAAGTGTTGATATCTTTAGTAGGGGTAGTGTTTAGTAATCCATAGCTGGCTTTGCTATATTTGTTGACTTGGCCCTACTTTCACCTTATGAAAATATAGGGAACCTGCAGAACAGCTAGAAGATGGCTTTTTTGGAAAGAGAAATTCTCTCTTCGTATTATTTCTGAAGAACTGGTCAAAAGACTGAATACAAAATTAGAAATGTTTCAGATATTTTCCAAACCAATGCTTATAATGATATTTGAATACGGTATTAAATACTCTTGAACATAACCTTTATTCTAGATAAAAATTATCCACATTCTTTTGGCCTGGATCCAGGTGTGGTTGGGCCATTCAGTTATAATAAGACAAATTTTCTTCTTGTTGTTGTTAAGTGCTGTTGAGTAAGTGCATAACTCTAATTTCACCCCTCCTAAGTGACTTACTTGCTTTTGTATATAGTAAGATTAATAGCAGATATTTTGCTAAAAGACTTGTAAGCACTAGGTATATCAGATACTACTTCTTGGGTAAAGCCATCTTCCTTCAAAGGTTCATGAGTCATAAGAACACTTCTCCTCTTTTTCTAAGTTCACTTGCTTTGCATAAAGTCAAAGTTGCAAGCTAGCGTAGGTAGGAGGCCATGTGGCAGGAACTGAAGTTTAGTATTAATAGTCACATAAGTGAACTTGAAGAAAGGATCCTTAAGCCTGAGCCAAGTCTTCAAAGACTGCAGTCCACTACCTTGACTACAAGCTCATGAGAGACATTGAGGCAGAACAACCCAGCAATCCTCAAGAATCATATAAATAAATGTTTGTTGTTCTAAGCTGCTAAGTTTTGGAGTAATCTTCTATGCAGTAATATAGTCCTCCCTCCTATTATCTTGTGCTAGTTTCACAATTCAAAACCAAGATCTTTCATTACTAGTTTTATTATTATCTTTTTAAAAACTCCTTTCAAGTATAAAAATGTGAGAAAATATTTGACCTGTAATTTTCTTTTGCATCTTCCCAAGCGAGTTGTCTAAATTCTTCATACATTTTTTTATTGAAGTGATCTCTGAGGAAAAAGGACCAGAAACGAAAGAGGGTATTCATTTCTTGGGATTGGCCAATTCCCAAGCGTTTTCTATCTGGAGAAAATTTTTAAAAAAGTAAAACATTATTTTTATAAAGCAGATTTTTTAAGACTAAAAAAATTGACATTTTACAGTTTAAAATGAAGAAAGCTGAAACACATTATTTCTCAAGATGTATTTAGGCTTTTTTTTCCTAAGTAGAAGAAAAATGTTAATCTGACTCATTGGTCAGATTTTAGGACAAAAATTTACTTTAGAGTAAAACATTAAATTGCAAACAATGAAGAATATGCCAAATTTTATTTCTCAATATGTGTAGGATACAAAACACATCAATAAAGAATATATGTGGCGCTGTGGTTAATGTGCCAGACTGAAAAGCCATTTGAACTGCAAGGTAGGTGGTTCAAGCTCACCAGCTGCTCCTTGGAAACCCTATACAGGGCCGCTATGGGTCAGAATTGACTCGACAGCACTTGACAACAACAACATATACATACTTTACGTTTAGTGATTACAAGAAAAGAACATATTATGCTGATATTAAATAATTTGAATTTCTTACAGTCACATTTTAATTTTAAATATAGCTAAGTAAACAGTAGGCATCATACCACTTAGGCATCTTCGACGATACTTGTGGTATACTTGTTGGGTAAAACCATTTTCCTTCAAAAGTTCATGAGAAGGATGCTGGAACTTTGGGAACGAATGAGGCGTACATCCATAACTTCCTGCTAGTGGGGTACTTTCTGAAGGTGAAGTATTTGAACTGCTGTTTGAGGAGAAAAAACAAAAAAGCCTCTAAAGAGAAATATCAGGAACCAAATGTTTAAACCAATTGTTGTTGTTAAGTGCCATCGAGTTGGTTCTGACTCATAGTGACCCTGAATAGGGTTTCCAAGGAGCATATGGTGGGTTTGAATCACTGACTTTGTGGTTAGTATTCCAGTGCTTATGCAACAACGCCAATACTAATCCTTCCCCCCACCACCACTCCCAATTACAGGGAGCCTAGTGTGGCGCTGTGGGTTAATACACCAGACTGCAAAGCCATTTGAACTGCATGATCGGTGGTTCAAGCTCACCAGCTGCTCCTCGGAAACTCTATACAGGGTCGTTATGGGTCAGAATTGACTCGAAGGCACTTAACAACAACAACAAGCAATGGAAAGTCCCTAAAACTTTCCTAAATTAAGACATACAGATATAGATACGGAGTGCTATTTATGTTCAATACATAGGTAAAATCAGAAGTTGATAAAAAAAAAAAATGGGCATAAATTGTACAACTAAAACAATAGTTTATTAATCTTCATGATTCATTATTCATATGATGGTGGTATACTATTGAGTCATTTCTGACTCACAGCAGCCCTGTATAGAGTTTCCAAGGCTGTAAAACTCTACGGGAGTAGAAAGTTTTATCTTTCTCCCTTGGAGCACCTGGTAGATTGGAACTGCTGACCCATATAGTGGATATTAATTTGTGGTTTGTGTGCTGTTCATTTAATTATAGTACTGGGAAACTCTTTCATTTTCTTATATTGAGTAATTAAATTAATGATGTAAATTGAATAAATAGAAATGAGAGATAGTCTGGCACAAAGATAAAAGCTGTGTGATATAATTATCCCAACCACATACAAGCAATTCTAATTCTCTAAATCAACTCCACAATGCTTCCAGAATCTGTCTCTTGCTTTTCATTTACATGCAATTACTCAAGTCAAGGCTATCCTCCTCTTTCACTAGAAATAATTGGGTTCTTCCTTTTCCCAATCTCCTTCTATTTTGCCACCAAAGTGATCTTGCTAAGTCATTGATCTAAATCAGTGGTTCTCACAATGTGTTCTGTGAAACCTAGAGGGTTTCTAAGAACCTTTCAGCAAGTCTCAAGATTAAAACTGTTTTCATACTAAGACATTTGTCCTTGTCATTGTGTTGACATTTCTTCTACCGATATAAAGCAATGGCGTATGATATAAAACATTGGTGGTGTAAGTCAAGACATTCACTAATTCACTCACTACCATTGAGTCAATTCTGACTCATAGCAACAAGACAGTGGCACCAAATTGTATTTACTAGTAATTGTATTCTTCACAGCCACACATTTGCAATTCAAACAAAGCTAGGTTCACCTTAAGGACATCCTTGACGAAGCAGAAAAAGTGGCTTTAGGAAATTTCAAAAGTACATGCCTTTTTGTGTGTAACAAAAATAACACTTTTGTGGCATATCAAAGTAAGATGGTTAGCTTAAAGAAAAACATTTGTGTGATAAAGGTGAGCTAAACTAGTAGCTATATTCATGGAACACTATCTTTATTTGAAAGAACAACTAGCTCAAAGGATGTTTCGTTGTTAAGTGCTGCCAAGTCAGTTCTGACTCATAGTGACACTATGTACAACTGAAAGGCAAACTACTCGCTTCTACTCATTCTCACAACTTTTGGTACATTTGAATCCATTGCCACTGTGTAAATCCATCTTCTAGGGGTCTTCCTCATTTTAGCTGACTCTCACTTTTCCAGACATGATGTCCTCCTTCAGAGACTGGTCCCACCTAATAACAGATTCAAAGTACAAGAGACCAAGTCTAACCATCCAAGCTTCTAAGGAGTATTCTGACTGACTTCTTCCAAGATAGATTTGTTAGTTGTGGCAGCCCATGGTACTTTCAATATTCTTTGCCAATACCATAATCAAATGCATGGATTCTTCCTTCACGCCCTCTGGATCTAGGCTCCCTCTTGAAAGCTTGTAAGCCAGTCACTTCTTGCCTTTGCAGACACCCCATTTTGGGTAGCCAATGTCCAAGTGGCCCATCCCTGTCTACTCTGTGTGTGGAGGGGTGGGAATGATCCTTGCTGTAAGGATTTGTTCCCTCTTTTGAGCTACTGCATCAATACGTGTAGGTCAAGTTCATCATATTGTATCAAATTACTCTTTTTTCCCTCTTTTTTCTTCTTCTGGTTGAGCTCTGATCCAGTCACTGAAGCCAGGTCAAGTGGGTATTATCTGCAAGCGTGGGTGTTCTTGTGCACATACTCTCTCTTCTTATCAGCTGGGTGCTTCACTCTCCACTCTAGTCCTCTGTGGCTATGTCACTGACTCTGGGCCCAACAGTCCCCAGGTCTTGCCACACTGCTGGCCAACCAGGTCTTCACCTGGGTTCACAGAAGTCTACTGAACATTGTAGGGCTTAGCTCGCCGCTTCATTGCTGTTTTTCCCTCACTTCCCCTTATCGGTGATAAGCGTGGTGGTCACCAATCAAAGCGTGTATTCCCATTGACTATTAGTCTTGGAAAGGGGTTTACACTGAGGAGACCCAACCACTTGCTTTGATGTCTCCTGGGCAAGCAACTTGCTTGTTCTTGTAGTAACAGTCGGTCTGCCTATGTTGTTTTATATTTTTCCTGTAGGTCTTTCTTTCAAGAAGTATCTTCTGTTCTTCTAGCCACTACAGGCTGGCCTGCTTGTCCTTTCAAGTGGAAATTTCCCATCTCTGAAGATCTGGATGTGGTTCAGGCTTCCACCTATAGTCTTATGAAATGCAGAGGCTCCGCAGGAAGCCTCCTTCACTGGGCACATTGTAGCCCCCATAATAGCCATCTTACTGAATTAATCGCTTAATATACTTGTAAAACGTATCCTTTTTTTTCCCTTAAAAAATTTTTATTTTCCAATAATTTCTAACATATTAACTTTCAAATAAATTACAAATTAAGAGCAAAACAATTTAACAAATAAAATACCTGACAGAGGATGTTCTTGTCCCATGATCTCTGGAGTCCATTACCCAACCAACATGACACTCTAGAGGGGGATTTGTACTATGCCGTGTTTTTCTTTTTCTTGGACTCTAAAACAAAAGAAGTCAAACATTGCAATTACTTTCAGTAGTGTGAACTTCACAAGTAAGTTAAAACCCTCTGAGTATAAACCAACTCAAACATCTTCAAACTGTGGATGACACATTATGAAATCATGTGAAGTCACAAAACTCAAACATGTTGCATATAAGCTACAAAACTTAACAAACAAGTCTCAGTTTGTATACAAGGATTAAAGGAAATGTATCTTAGTAAGATTCTTCATTATATATGTTAATTGACTTTAATTATGCTACGTTATTATAAAGAAATTATTTCGTACCCTGAGAAAATACCTCTAAGGTAAAACATCATCTTTAAATGAATTCATACAGTCTAACAATATATATATATATATATAGATAGATAGATAGATAGATAGATAGATTAATATATAGATATATATAGATATTGTTGTTAAGTGCCAGCAAGTGGATTCCGACCCATAGCAACCCTGTATAGAGTTTCTGAGGAGCAGCTTGGTGAGCTTGAACCACTGACCTTACAGTTTAGATGGTTTTTAGTCTGGTACATTAACCCATAGTGCCACACCAGGATTTATGTATATATATACATACATTTAAATATTTTAAGAAACAAAAGTCTCATTTTGAAATGCGAATACATGATTTAGGCTTACTATTCCCGGTTGTTTTGTTTACCTTTACATCAATGGCTTTTGGTTCTTTAACAACGGGATAAAATCTTGGTGTTTTATTAGGATCTTGTAATCTGGGTGTTCGTGGTGTTTTCGGTGTCCTTGGAAGATTAATTCTAGGTGATTCTGGAACTGCGGTGGGCAATGAATGTGCCATTGTTACTGAAGATACCTTTGAAACATCAAACAGTTTCTGAGCTAATTCTCCCGTCAAATCTGCAAAATAAAAAAATCGTTAATATTTCTTAAGAAGCTAGCAAAATATTTTCATTGTGAACAAGAATAATTCTAAAATTTTGCAAGCTCAAATGATTTTTTCACTATAAACATCAAATACATAATAGAAACAAGATATAAATAAATACTGGTTTTATTTTGATTTTGCTATATATAGTATATATGAATATGGAGTATATACGAATAGCAGTGGGACATTGCTGGACAATTCCTCATATGCAAGCTCAGACTGCAACTGAAAAAAATTAAACAAGTCCACAAAAGGTAAAACATGACCTTGAATATATCCATCTGAATTTAGAGACCAACTCAAGAGCAGATTTGATGCATTACATACCAGTGCCCAAAAACCATAAGAGTTGTGGGATGATATTAAAAAAAACAAAAACATAAAAGGAGAAAGCAAAAGGTTATTAAAAAGACAGGAAAAAAAAGATCAAAATGGATGTCAGAAGAAACTCTGAAACGTCTGATTATAGAGAAGCTACAAAAGGAAGAAATGAAGAAGTAAAAGAGCTGAACAGAACACTTCAAAGGGCAGATTGAGAAGACAAAATCTAGTATTATAATGAAATGTACAAAGACCTGGAGTTAGAAAACCAAAAGGGAAGAACACGCTCAGCATTTCTCAAGCTGAAAGAACTGAAGAAAACATTCAAGCCTAGACATGAAATATAGACAGATTCTATGGACAAAATAGTGAATGATGCAAAAAGCATTAAAAAAAAAAAAAAAAAAGATGGAAGGAATCCATAGCTACTGTGCAAAAAAAAAGAGGTCAATGTCAATCATTTCAAAAGGGAACATACGATAAAGGACTGATGATATATATATTTTTAATGTTTTATTGTGTATTGTGTGATAGTCTACATGGGGGAACATTAGTTTTACATTCATTCCATCATACATCGTCTCATTGCCATAGTTACCATCCCATCCATGCATCATCACCCAACCAAAGGGTATACCCTGCAATTCCGCCCACCCTCCCCTCACAGTCCTCAGCACACAGCCCCTCTCCCTATCTGGATCCTTAGTCCCCAGCCACTCCATCTGTTCATGTCATCCTCTCTGTCTCAGGCCTCACTTCTCTGGGTGGGGTCCCGATCTCCGCTCTTCTCCATTGATGGTCCCAGGGCCCTCTGCTCCTAGACTGAAAGGTTAATCACTCCCCATCTTGCTATAAAATGTCCACCTTTACATTTCCAGTCCTCATAATCAGTCCTGGTGACTATTATTCACCCTTGCATCCCAAGGGACCCACTGCATTTCTTTTCATCTGCCCTTTCTAGACAGGTAGGATACTACTCACTGGAGACTCTACCATCTTCCCCACCCTGTGGATCTAGGTTCCCTCTTGAGAGCTTGTAAGCTCTTACCTTTGTATCCCTTCTCCCATTTTTGGTTAGTCAATGTTCAAGTTGTCCATCCCTATCTACTCTTTGTGTGGGGGGGTGGGAATAATTCTTGGAGCAGGGAATTATTTCCTCTTTTGAGCTACTGCACTTATAGGTGGATGTCCAGTTTATCAAATTGTATCAGATGATGCTTTTTTCCTCTTCTTTCTTCTTTGGGTTGAGCTTTGTTGATTCCATCATTGGAGCCATGGCAAGTGGGTATCTTCTGCAGGTGTGGGTGTTCCTGTGTCTATCCGCCTTCTTCTTATCAGTTGGTCGCTTCGATCTCCACTCTACTCCTCTGTGGATATATCACTGACTCTGAGCCCATGAGTCCCCAGGTCTTGCCTCACTGCTGGCCGACTAGGTCTCCACCTGGGCTCACCATAGTCTGCTGAATGATGCAGGGCTTAGCTCGCTGCTTCTTCGATCACTTCTCTTTATGGGTGACATGTGTGGTCGCCAATCAGAACGTGTTTTCCCATTGCGTCTTAGTCTTGGAGGAGGATTTGCACTGAGAGGACCCAATTGCTTGCCTTGATATCTCCTGGAAAGACAGTTTGCTTGTTCTTGTGGTAACCGTCGGACTGCCCTTGTTGTTTTGTATTTTTCCTGTAGGTCCTTCTTTCAAGAAGTGTCTTCTGGTTTTCTGGCTGCTCCAGGCTGGTCTACTTGTCCTTTCAAGAGGAAAGTTTCCCATCTCTGATAGTCTGGATGAAGAACCAATGATATTGAAGGAAGAAGTCATAACTGTTTTTTCGTTATTGGTGAAAAACAAGGCTCCAGGAATTGGTAGACTATACATTGAAATTTTTCAGCTAACTGACAGCCCTGGAGGAGGCACTGATCTGATGGATCTTGGCTGAAAGCAGAGAATACCAAAAAGATGTTTACCTGTGCTTTATTGACTATGCAAAGGCTTTCGATTGTATGGACCATGACAAGCTATGGACAACATTGCGAAGTATGAGTATTCCTGAACACTTAATTGTGTTCATGAGGAATCTGTATATGGACTAAAAGGCAGTTGTTGGAACAGAACATGGGAACACTGAATGGTTTAAAATGAAGAAAGGAATACAACAGGGTTATATTCTTTCACTATACTTATTATTCAACCTGTATGCTGTGCAAATAATCCAAGAAGCTGGGTTCTGTGAAGAAAAATGTGGCATTAGGATTGGAGGACTATTCATTAACAACCTGTGATATGCAGATGATACAACCTTGCCAGCTAAAAGTGAAGAGAATTTAAAACTTAAAGGATTGACAAAAAGATCAAGGAAAGCACAGAGAACACAGGAAGAACTTTAGAAGAATTCTGGGAAATACTACAAAGAACAGATAGACAAAAGAAATGCAAATTCTGAAACAATACAAAACCTGTTATTTGAAATCCAGAAGATTAATACTAAGATTTCAGAAATCACAATACATTCAAAGGACAGAGGAATAGATTTGAAGCAATGGAAGCCTAAAATAGTAAGCTTGAAGATAAATCTCTCAGTGCTAGTATACTAGAACTATCAGACAAAAAATAATGAAAAAATCCAAAGAAAGCCTAAGAGTTACATGGAACCCATGAAGAGCAGTAACTTACAGGTGATTGGAACAGAAAGAGACAATGAAAAACACAGAGAAAACTGTCAAAGAGTTGTTAAAACTTCCCTAATATGAAAAAAAACAAGAAGATAAACATGCAAGATAAACAAACCACAAATAGGATAGATCCCAAAAGAAAATCACCAAGACATATCATAATCAAACTTTCCAAAACTAAAGACAAAGAAAGAATCCTACAGCAGCTCAGGAAAATGAAAAGTTACCTACAAAGGAGAACCAAATAAGACTAAACGCTGATTTCTCAGCAGAACCATGTAGGCAAGAAGACAACAGGATGACATCTACAAAACTCGAAAGAAATTGCCAACCAAGAATCGCATGTCTGGAAAAACTGCCCCTCAAATATGATGGTGAAATTAGGACATTTCCAGATATATAGAAATGAAAGGAATTTGTAATAACCAGACCAATTTTACAAAAAATATGAAAAGGTGTTCTCTGGACTGAGAACCAACAACAGACAACAACCTGAAATTAGCATACATGACAACATCATCCAGAACTCAATCCAGATATAGAACTATTTAAATTAAAACAAACCTAACAAGACTGAAAACAGAAATATTAATTTATAGTGATGTCAATTACAAATCAAATAGAAGGAATAGTGTAGATATAGGACTTACAAATGGCAAGGAAGACAAGGCAAAAACAGACAGCTTTAAACTGGGGAAAGCATTAGTAAGTTATAAGGTAACCTCAGAGTAAATTAATACACCTTCACTTCAAAATAAAAAAGGATAAAAAGAAAGATTTAGTAACCATTAACATAACAGAAGTCAAAATGAAAAGAAAACACATAAAATAAACTCAATGTAGAACTATATGTGGAACAAAGAAACAATCAGTACTACATGTACAAAAACACAAAGCAAAATGACAGCAATCAATCCATACTTATCGATAATTACAATGGATGTAAATAGATTAAATTTATTTAATGGATGTAAATGGATTAAATAAGAGTAGAAGAATGGATAAGGAAACAGGATCCTTCAATATGCAGTCTATAAGAGATACATTTAAAAGATGGATACATCCTAAATAACACCAACAGGAGAGTGGTTAGGCAAACTTTGGTATATACACACAGTGGAATACTATGTACTGTCAAATAACAATGAATCTGCAAACATCTCATAACATGAATAAACCTGGAGAACATTA